TTTTTTTTTTTCTGAACGATAGAGATATTATATAAAAACGCACAAATGTGCAAAAGTACATCCACTAGCTGAATACAAACATCCAACGGCTAAAAAGACTAGAAGGATAGGTCTAAAAGACCGCCTAGAACTAACCCCAACAAGGTAATATTCTAAAAACATAAAAAAACACAACTGCTACAGATACTAAAAAGCTCCCAACATGAGAATAGAGACAAGAGACAGGAGTTGATCCAAACATGATAATACCTGCTCCCACTCTGGCTCACAGAGGCCAATGGCCCAAACCAAAAACACGAAACCTAAACGACATTCTAGAGTAATTATCATTAAGCAACTTTTAGGAGCATTTTGTTACAAATAAAAAAATTGCATCTTATGGAAAAAAAAGCACAGGCTTTAAGGCACAAAATATTAAAAATTTGCTATTTTCATCCTACTAAAGAAAATCTATATCTATCTATCTATTCTATACTATTATAAAAGACTATTATAAAAGGAGGAGTGGGTTTGTAAAAATAAATAAATAAATAAACGGACTAAAAGTCCTTATGTTTGATATTTTATTAATGACAAAATCATAGTGTCTCAATTAGTTATAATTATAATTAAATATCTCAATAAAATAGGATTTTAACAAATACAAAACTATTTTTAACAAAAAAAACCCAAACAAAATAGATTTATTTTTAGCTACCACTTTATTATTTTTACATCACATCAATTTTAAATTTTACATTCTCATCTCAAATCAATCACTTCTCAAAATCTTCCTAAAATATTTTCCAACAATTTCTAGCTGAAAAGACAAAATTTTCAATGGAAGCATATATTACTTATCTATATTTAAAACTAGTACAGAGCCCGTGCGATGCACGGGGTGCACAATTTTAAGGTTATTTATCCAGCCTTATAATTATATAAATAAATAAAAAAATGTACGAGATATATATAGTGCGGGACCTGTGCGATACACAGTATATATTTATTTGGGGAATATTATATTATAAGATGCAATATTCAATAAAAGTTTTATAATACGCAGGAAAATTATACAACAAAATAGTATTCGACAAATAAACAATCGTATATTATTAAAGACCTCCTTCTACATAGATATAAAATAATATATTAGTAAAATAATGTATAAATTGATTATAATAACAAAACAACATGCTAACGGGATTAGTAAAAATACTCCATAGTTTGAAGATTTAATGGGATTAAACATTTAAATTAATTAATTTAGATAATTCGAAATTAGATAATTCAAAAGCCTTCCAACATTGTTTTGACTTTAATATATTACAGCATGGGTATACTTTAAATATATTAATATTTAAGGAACTTTAAACAGCATAGTTTTTAAAAAATTGTTTTAGGGAACTTTAAACAGCATAATTACGTCACCCATAAAACAAATTATATTTCAACAGCATAGTTATAATATTATTTAAGGAACTTGACAACATTGTTAAATATTTACGTCAACTCAGAAATTTTTTGCAAGTCGAAGGTAATTAATCACGTGCTTTTTTTATTTTTTTGTTTGTTCAATTTTTTTAACAAAACTGATATCATGGATAAAACAATTAAATATTAAATAAATTAATTAAATAATAATAAATAATATGCTTTAGACAGATATAAAATGCGGATAATCCTCTCATGCCAAACAACGCGATTTCAAAATTGATTCAAATCCAGCAATCCTATCCAATATTTCATTAAAATAAATATTAAATAAAATGCTTTAAACAGAAATTAGATAAGAAATTTTAAATTTGCTTTTTTTAATAGATAGACTTTACGTACATTTTTTATGGGATTTGTTTTGACTAAATCGATGTTATTATGGAATAAGACAAATAAATAAAGTCTTTTTTATTTTAGTAAAAATTTTACGTACTTTTTTTTACTTATCGGATGTTATGAGATTTTTTTTTAAACCGATTTTATGGGATATAAGACAAATAAAAAAATAATTAAATATAATTCTGGATAGAAATAGCAACGCATTAATTACGTTGACTTTTCAACCTACTAAATTTGTTAAATAAGATACCTTATTATATAAGTATACTAATCTTTTAGAATCCGACACAACTCGGAGATATGTGAAGGATCCATTTATTAAGTTGTAAATAAAATTGTAAATAGCAAGAATATAAATGTTTTATTATGTTATGGAATGATGCATTATTCATCACTTTTTTAATATCAAATTAATTAAATAAAAAGAATGAGGCAAACTCTTACCAATTTTTAAATTCCTGTGCCATATTACGACATCAAGTTTTCAATATCAAATTAATTAAATGAAGTTCTTTTTTATATAAAATATATTTAAGTTTTTATTTTCTTACTAAAATGAATGATGCAAACTCGTACCAATTTTAAATTCTCCACAATTTGAATAAGGACTCCTTTAACTTTTGAATACTGCTAAATTTCGTGTCTGTCATTATTTCTGCGGGCAAATTCTATGAAAGTTGTTAGGAAATTGTTAACATTTCAATTTGAATTTGAATTACAGATTTGTATGAAAATTATTAAGAAAATTGTTTACAATTTAATTTGAATTAAAGATTTTTCTTTTTTCATGTTTTCTCTTTAAGTTTGTTAAATAAAGCAACCACTTTATTTAAACTTTTATCCCTTCCTTATTTAGATATTTTATATAAGTATAGATTATAAATGCATTAATTACTACTTGATAAAATTAGAAGTTCATTAATTAAGTTTGACTTTTCTACCCACTATATTTAGTAAATAAGATCCCCTTTAATATAAGTATTTTCGCTAAGTTATTCATTAATGGTTAGAATGAAGTGACGGGCATGGCTTTTGCTTGGAAAACCCTATTTGTTTATATTTAAGTAGTAGCCAGTAGATAGTAAGGTTTAGGTCCCTTAAGACATGGAGAAAGAATATAGGGGCATTTGGCTTAGGCAGTAGAGAACTGGAGATCCTGATCCGAGTTTGAGCTAGAGGCAGGCTCACGTACAATTGTTTTATTTTCTTTTTCTGTTTCTTTCGACAATAATAGAACTTCAGCTTCCAATTTCTTCCCGCAAGTCTCTCTAACTCTATCAGCATATCTATTGCACCCTTATAATTTCTTTCGTATGTTCTTTCTATTGGGTATGAATGCGCAGAAATACGAAACCTAGGGAGCATTGCCTATTGTATTATGCTATTATTTCTTTTATAAAATATGAATTTTATTTTATTCTCTATTTTTTTTATCCACTAACCAATCACATGCGACCACTATTTCCTGAAAAACATCTCATCAAATACTATAAATGCACTTCATTCACACAGAAGTACCCTACCCGCTCCCTCTTTTCCGATTACCATTCACCCCCAATCATGTTTCGTATTTAGAATTTTATTTACAAATTCAACATAACAACCAATCAGCTCATGACTAATGTGAACTTAATAAACCTGAGCTAAATTAAACCAAAAAACTTCTCATGTATTGATAACCCTTATTTCTAACAGTAACACTTCCAGATGATACTGTTTGGAGGATGCAGACATCAGAGAAAAAGGACAGCAGAGAATGTAGTCGTCCCACTCCCAAGCATGATTTTTTCAAAAAAAATAAAAATAAAAATAAAGAATAAGTGCTAAGAAATTTTCAGAAGACTTTCTATGGGGCTTCTAGAATGCTTTAAGCTACAAAATGAAATGTCCTACCATGGAAAAAATTGCTATCCTGTGCAACTTGGTCTCAAAATAACTGAATTAAGTAAAGAGATATATCAACAGCAGATTTAGTCCACTTATCATTCAATAATAAAACTGAAGAATCAATTTTCAAGAATACTTGAAATTGGCCATAGCTCAATAAATCATCCTCAGCAGCATATTGTCCCAAGCATAATCTCACAACCAAGTTAGAAGGATATCTGATTCTATCAATATGCAATCGCGCTGCAAGCTTGTCAACAAGAATATAGATAACTTAGTAATCAAAGTCCATGCATAAGATAGAGTAATTTACTTGTCTGATACGTCGTGGGCCCCAGCTAGAGGAAGACCATCTGGACCGAGAATATGTTTCCGCATATAAACCGTCATTAATAAGACCCCTACAGGTAAAAACAAGGATCAAGGAATGGCTAGAGATAATGTTACGGGATGTGACGCACAGATTTGTGGTTATGCTTTAGAAGTAAAATTTAGTCATTTTTCCTGATACTCTTATACAAGGTCACATGTGTAACTTTATCACGAAAATTTACACGGGAAATACCAATAGTGGTTTGGTGCCTCGAAAGAAAAAACTCATTTGCATGTTATATGTACAAACGCAGCATTCTAAGCCATATACCTGCTCTGGAAGTCTGACATCACGGACTCGATAATGTCAAGTGGAAACCTCTTAGCTTGTAGTTTCTTCTTCAGCTCCAGAGCAGTAAATGCTCTGCAACCATATGAGCATACCTCAGCTACGAATTTGCAGTGCATAAGATAGAAAGCCAGGATAATAGAAAATTTGAGCAAACATTAATTTTGGAAAAGTTTGAATATACATAAAGCACAAGTGGAAGGTGACAATTGTAACAAATAGGAGCTTCTTTCAGTACTTCTATTATATAATCAAAAGATAATGTCAACGAGGTCCCTCTTTTTTGATGCACATCAAAAGCTTATAACCCTAAGACCCCTAACTAAATCCGAACAGCCACAACCCAAAACCATGAACCGAACTGGAAAGCGAACTCTCACTGAAACGACTGGGAAGTCTGCCTATGAAATTCTCGTACAAGCACGGAGTGTACATAGTGTTGTATCTACTTTTAGCATGAATATGTGGTACGACACTCATTGAAAGTATCGTGCCTTCAACATTGTTTCCAGCACTCATCCATATTCTCACATGGATGAAATATTATACATACACACATATGAGGAAAAAACTAAAAATAAAAAATAAAAAAATTATTTAGCGCCAAGAGGATTCTACTTCTGGACTTATTCGTAGTCCTCAAATACAATCAGAAATCTGGACGTACCAGCATGACCTATCAACTGTCATGAAACCACCGCCTAATACATGAGGCACAACACTCTACCAATTAGAATTGATACACAAAGATTTGAATTCAGCTTCCTTTATTAAACTAGCACTAACATAGAAACAAATTACCAAGGGTTATTTCCAGTAGGAAGGCCTTTCACAATGTGCAGGAACAAAACTACAGTCGAATTCAATATAGCCAAGCAGTTTTAGCTCTATCATTCCACATGACATAAATCCAACTACTTATAAAAGTTCTTCTGATAAAATTAACCAAGATTGTTTCGTCTCATCTGATTCATTTAACTAAAAATATAAGTTGTACTTGAGACATTTTTTGTTACATAAAATCACTCAGGCAGGAAGAATTTGGTCCAAGATCAATATAACAAGTAAGAAACCAATTAGATTACTGAGTGCTCATTTAGAGGCAGAATGACAATACAAAATTCTATAATAAGTAACCTCGAAGCAAGCAACTCAATCGCCAGCTTCTCCACAGCTTGCCGACTAGGACCTGATTGAATTCCGCTAAGTGATCTAAAACTATCTTCAACAATTTCCTCAGTCTCTTCTATAATTCCATCATCCAAGGCCACGATATCTCCCTCGTGTTTTTCTTCCATCTCTAGATATTACAGTATATCAAGTAAAATCAGCTTTACTTACCCATCCACGCACACACCAACACAAATGAAAGGGGAAAATATGAAATGAAATGAGCTATAACTAAACCATACCTAAATTTAGCCCATACATATCAGTATCACGGCACGCAGCACGATTCTTGGAGTTAACATCCAAAAACCCGTCACTTGAATTCGTCGAAAAACCGACCCTGGCTAAATTTAACTCCGGCCCATTATGCCTTTTTTCTACATACTTCACAGGGAGGGAAGCGGCTCCATCTTCTTCGCTCTTTAAAGAATTTCTAGGAATGTATTTCACGGGCATAGCACTGCTGTAGTCTCTCCCTCGTGCACAGCATCTTGCAGCAGTGTTGCATTTTACCCTAAAGATAGAATTTTTATGAGCAATACACGAAGAACGAAGATAAACAAAAAAAAAAAAAAAAA